ACTTGTAGTGATTCTCCTGTTTTCAGCTTCCCAAGAGCTGGCATTACAGGTGTGCACCACCATGCCGCCATCTCAGCGTGCCCTGGGGATGGGGGTGGGGGCGAGGCCAGGACCAGTACAACACGCAGGGCATCGAACCCTGGCTACTGCATCTGCCTAAACGGGCACTTTAGTCAGCTGCGCTATTTGGCCAGCCCTAAAATGCTACTTTTTTAAAAGATTTAAAAAAAAAAATTTTTTTTTTTAATTTAGACTGGGTGTGGTGACACACACCTATAACTCCAGCACTTGGGAGGCTGAAAACAAGAGAATCACTACAGGTCTGATCTGTGTAGTGAGACCCTGTAGATCCTGCAATAAATACCAAAAAAAGTCAGCCTATACTTTCCTATATATGTAACAATCAGATAACCTAAATGCAAAGGGAGATAAACAGAAAATAAAATAAAAACTCTGTTACTTTATGGTCAGTTTAAGATTTAAACCAAATTCACATTTCAATATTTTATCCCCCCTAAAACAAAAACATTTTCTACTACATATAATATTCAGATAGCATCTAAGTTTCTAAAACAGAAGTAGGAGAGCGGGCCAAATAGCTCAGCAGATTAAAGGGCCTGCAAGCACAGGGGCCAGGGTTAGATCCCCAGGCCAGCCATGCCAGCCCCGCCCCGGGGCACGCTGAGGGGCAACTGAGACTGGGCGTGGTAGCACACGCCTGTAATCCCAGCTCTTGGGAGGCTGTAAACAGGCAGATCAATACAAGTCCGACCTAGCAGTGAGACCCTCAACACTCTGTAGACCCTTCCCAAAAATTAAAAAAAAAATAGAAGTAGGAAGACAAATATTCCCTCACATACTAAATGTGCCTCTCTGACCCACCTCAATAGTTGTGAGGGTATACAGCACAGCTTCCCAGAGAGCGGGGCAGACACTGGGGTCACTGTCATCAATGCTCAGCAGAACAGAGGGGCTCACTTTGGAAGCTTCCTCTTTCATCAACTGTGGAATGCGCTGGCACAACGCAGAAACTAACTCAAAATATGCTGAGCGGATCTGAAAGAAGAAACAGAAAGCTTGAGTTAAATGCAAACCTAGTAAAGGTTAAGATTTATTTATGGTAGTGGCAGACAACATCATTCCTAATGACCTTCTCATTGATACAACTAAAAGAGCTATAAAATAGTCTTTGAAATCTTAAGAATAGTGAAATGGCTGAAAAGATATTAGGATCAACCAGTAGGAATGACCAAGGACATGCCCAGGCAGAATGGCACACACCTGTAATCCTAGCACTCAGGAAGCTGAGACAGGAGGACTGTGGAGAGGTGAGGCCAATCTGGGCTACAAAGTAAGTTTTAGGCCAACCTGAATAGCACAGGGAAGCCTTGTCTCAAAAGACACCAAAAAATTAAAAAATAAGTATTATTCAGTCTAAAGTTTTAGTTATAACAGCATGAATGGATTGCAACAAGCAGATAGATAAAAGAGAAAACCCATGAAATGAAGAGATCATCCACAAAGCAACATAGAGACAAAAAAAACAAAAAACATCAAAAACAGCATAGGATAGAATAAGAGGATTTAAAATAATTTAATTTTAACCCCAACAGAGAGAACAAAGCAAAGAAAATAACTGGAGAAAACAGCTTTGAATTTCAGAGTCAATCCATAGAATCAACTCCAACAAATCTCAAGGGTACACATTGACACACAAAAGGCAATCCACAACAAGAGGTGTAGGAGTGTGTATGGTTTGTGCCTAGAGGTCCCCCAACAAAGCCTCATGTAATCATGGGGGGCAGGCTTTTCAAAAGATTCTGGATCTAGAGTTTGTGATTGATTCATGATCCAATGCCAGGATTCAGGTAAGCACTACACCTGCCATAGGGCAGGTAGCCTGCGTACATTATAAGGGACACAAACAGCTTTGTTCCCTCAATTTTTCCCTCATTGCTTTTGCTGTCTTCAGTCACATGAACCATTTGTCCTCTGGGATGCCCTTGTCCAGCCCCTCTGCCTGGGAGCCAGTCGATGGCTGACTGAAACATCTATAAAATGTGAGCTTCCTACCTTTAATTGTCCACAGGGTATTTGGCCTCAAGAAAAGTAAGAAAGCAACAAGAAAAGTGAACTATGACCGAGTACAACTACAAAAGCACAGTAAATCTTTGAAAAGTCGCCAGAAGTAAAAGGTAAACTACCATCCAAGGAAGGCCCATGAGACTGTCAATAAATCCTTTGTAGGAGCAGGACACAGCAAAAATTTAAATCAAAGGACACAAAACATACAATATAGTTACATAACTATCAATATGTAATTATATTGTATGTAGTAAAAACACCAAGGATGATAGTATCTTATAAAAACAAAAGAAAGTAAAAAATCTGACACAAAGATAAACAAGAGAAGCACTGTGAGTCCAGAGAGATCCTGTACCAAATACGTAAAAAAATTAAAAAAAAATTAAAAAAAGATTTAGAGAGGTTGGGGCAATGGCTCAGTAGAATAATTGGCCTGAGTCAATCCCCAGTTCCACAAAAAAAAAAAAACCTGTAGACTGTAGACCCTTCTGTAAAATACAAAAAAAAAATCAAAAAAAAAAAAAAAAAAAAAGATTTAGAATAAAGAAAGTGTTTTGTGAGATTAAAAAAATACATGTTTAGTCCTGCACAATACTATATTTATGTATAAAGCAATATAAAATCAAAGCCAACAGACTTTCAAGTGACACCACACTTAAAAAAGCAGAAAATTTTTGAGCTTGTGTATTAAAGCTGAAAAACTATGTTCACATAAACATGTCAGAAGAAACAACCAAGAAAATTCTAGCCTTCACTCACGATACAAATACTAAGAAAACAAAGAACAGAAAGAAAATGCTTAAATGTTAAAAATATATATATATATCTACCATAAACATCATGCTAAGGTTAAGGTACAAAATAAAACTGCTATTACCACTCGTTCTCAAAGAGCACTAGAGTACCTACTTAATACAAAACACACAAAAAAAAAAAAAAAAAAAAAACAAGGGAAAAGACCTGGAATGGAACCCAAATGACTACTATTGCAACAATATATCTAGCTATAAATACATTTCATTAAACATTTATTTATTTATTTATTTTGTGTGTGTGTGTCCAGCTCAGCCCACCAGGGGGCGGGACTGGCTGGCATGTGGTGCTGGGGGATCGAACCGCGGTCCCTGTGCTTTGCCAAGCTTGTTCCAAGTAAGTGCTTTAGACCACTGAGCCATCTCACCAGCCCTCTATAAATACATTTTAAAAGACTTGAAGTCAAAGTATTAGAACAGGCACCTATGATTTATCAAACACAAAATTAACATAAAAAGTACAGCATTCCTATACACGAGTAGAAGCAAAATAGAAATGTAAATAAAAAGACCATTTCACAGTAGCAGTAAAGACCTTACAGGGACTGGGGCTTAGCTCAGTAGAATAAGCGCCTGCAGGGAAGTGCAGGGTCCCAAGTTCAATTCCCGGTAAGGACCCTACAGGGACATTCACTGTGGAGACTATTATAAACATTACTCTAGGATGCAAAGGATACAAAGCAGCAAAAAGAATGCTAAAAATGTACTTTCCCAAAAGAAAAAAAAAATTTTTTTTTAAATGCCAGGGAGATGGCTCAGTAGGATAAGCGCTTGACTGGCAAACACCAGGATCTGAGTTCAATCCCTGGTTCCACCAAAAGAAAAAAAAAAAAAAAAATTAAAAATGTATTTTCCTAGCTGAGGTCAAACAATATGATGGATGTTTTCCTTTCTTATTTTAGTCTCATTGTATAGCAAGTATCCTTTTCTTAAGACTATTTACCACATTTTTCAAAACTCTACCACATTTTTCAAGCTTCTCAGGCTGGTGAGATAACTCAGCGGTCTGAAGCACCTTAGGTGAGCTTAGGCAAACCACAGAGACTTCGGCTCCGTCCCACTCCAGCACCACATGCCACGCCAGTCCCGCTCCCAGGGTGGGTTGAGCCAGCCAAAAAAAAAAAAAAATTCTTACAGTCTTGGTTGGTGGTGATTTCGGGTGTGGGGGGGGTTATTATGTTCTTGTGCTGTTGTTCCACCTCTGGCCTAACAAGTTATCCATCATTCTTCCGAGCCCTTTGCTTGGGTCCTCTTCTCAATGTGCAAAGACACTACTCAGTACAAGTCTAACATTTAGAACCACACAAGGAAAGGGGAGAGCACGAATGCTTAATGGGCCATGCTGAGAAAATGCGGGAGACGGGCTTCATTCAAGCATGAGCTCCCAGGGCTTCTGGCCATGAGGTGAACGTTTGTTTTCATTTGGTTTTTGTGTGTGTGTGTGTGGTACTGGGGACTAAATTCAGGACCCGCGCTTGCTCTCTCCCCAGGCCCAAGGTGAATATTAATGACTCAAAATACATATGTTAAGATGTCTTTACAAACACATAAAAAAACAGGGTTATGTATTGATCCACTACCAACTTGAGCCAGCCTAAAAAAAATCCTTCTCAACTTTGGGGAGCCTGCTGGTTTAGCTCAGTTGTTTATTTTTATTTTATTTTTTTTATTTTTTATTTTTTTAGCTCAGTTGTTTAAGCACCTGCTCAGGCAAACACAGTCAGGCGTAGGTACCATGGTTCGATCCCCAGCTCCACCTGCCTTACAAGGCCCGCCCTTAAGGCAGCTTGAGTCAGCTAAAAAAATAAAAAATCCTATTGAACCACTGCCAAAAAAAAAAAAAGTATTGATGCACTGAAAACCTGTTGAAGTCAGAGGCTCACAGAAACCTGTATCTCCCCTAGAAGCAACATTTCTATATTCACTAATTCAGTGTTTATGCTTAAGTTATAGAACATAACTACTATGAATGAGGAAAACACAAACTATATGCACTAGAAATATTAGAATAATCACCCACTAGGAAAAAGAGAAAAAAACACATTAAATAAATTAAGAGTCTTGCATACGCCAACAACTTTAAGTGCCATGAACAAAGGAATATAATTGAACTGTGAACCTGATACCCAAACTAAACAAAAAAATGAAAACATGAGTCAGGGGTGTGACCTACTGGTAGCTATATGGTCAGCCTATGAAGCCCTGGGTTTAAATCTCAGCATAAAGAGAAAAAGGAAGAGGGAAGAGGAAGCAGAGAAGATGAGGAAAGGAAGAGACAGAATAATAATCAAGTAAGAAGAAAATTCAGTTGTGAATGATCTATTTCAAGAATGTGCTTACAAAATTATAGACATGAACAATAAACATAATCTAGTAAGATCAAGGGGACACATTAGAAAAATGTTTTGAGATAGTTTAAGAATAAAAGTAGATTAAGATACCTGTGGTACACTGTGTTTTCCATACTTCCAAAATTTATTCTGTGATAACAGAGATTTAAATTTCTCCTCTAAAGAGTCAAGTTCATTATCAGGTAAAAGGCAAAGCAATTTCTTTAGTGCCAATAAGGAACAAGTTACAACTCGATAGAATTTAGCTTCTCTTTCTTCCTCCGGAACAGTTCTTCATTTGAAAAGAAAATAAATAAAAGGATTAAGAATAAGTCAAAACGATGGTGAATATTTAATTAAAAAAAATAGTATTCACTAATTCAGTCTTTATGTTGAAGTTACAGAAATCAACCACCAGGCATGAGGTAGTAAAAAATTCTAGTAAAAGTACAGTGCCATTAATCTCCCTCAAAACACCCCCACTCATTTGGAACACGACACCATTCTTGCCACTTTCTGAAGCTCTTTTGGAAGACTTCTTCCATGAGCATCTTTATGAGATACAATCAGAATCGAGTGCGACTGGTGCGCACCATCCAACAGAAAGGCAGGCTCATGCAGTGTTCGTCACTGGCACCACTCAACTTCTAACTCCTCCCCAAAGTCAAAATGACCAAGAGGGGTAAACATTAGGAATAAATCCAAGACACCTCGGCAACCGCAGCAGCACAGCTACCGACACTCACGAAGGGAGACTTCTGAACTGCTTCAGAAGTGCCAAGGACAGGATAAGTGTATCTGAGATACGTTTCTCAGATTCAGACATTCTCTGAGGGAGAATTTTTTTTTTTGAGGGAGAATATTTTAAGTGGAGTTAATGGAAATATCTTTTTACTAGAATAAATTTTTTAAACACCGTATTTTTCAATCAAACATCATCCTTTAAATGTTGTAATCATTAAACATCTACCACTTACTTTATTTCCATCTTCTACTCCCTGTGTCAAACCCCCTCAAAAAACACACAGAATTTTAACCACATATTTTACTGTTAATATGAGATGAAATTAGAGGAAAAATCATGTCTTGAAATAAGAAACCAAGTGCATATCCTCAGAAGTAAGTATATCAAGACATCTCTGAATACTTTCCTTTATGGATTCTTTTTATTTTATTTATTTATTTATTTATTTATTTATTTTTGCCAAACCGGGGATTGAACTCAGGCCCTTGTGCTTGCCAGGGAAGCGCTTATTCCACTGAGCCATCTCCCCAGCTCCCTCCCTTATGGATTCTTAACAGTTTAATTAGAAAATAATAACAAACATATATTTTACTACTCTTTCAACAGAACTACCTAGCAGGGGATGGTAGCACATGCCTCTAACCTCAATACTTAGAAGACTGAGGCAAAAGATTGCCATACGTTTAAGGCTGGCTTGCACTACACAGTGAGTTCAAAGCCTGCCTGAATTACATAAGGAGACCTTATCTCAAACAAAAACAAAAAGAAAAAACTACTTATATATTCTCTGACTATTCCCCACCATACTTTCAAACAGTCCCTGCTATTGCTGTCAAAAGGTAAATGTGGGAAAAATCTAAAAATCTCTCAAATAGAACCAATGAGCAGCTCCAAGAAAATCTGAAGTAAAAATGTCAGTAAGAGCACTTATCAGAGCACCTAACATACACTGTACTCTTACATTGTTATTTTCAACTCTATATTTACAATTTGTTCTTTACAGAGAATCATATCGAAATAACATCTGGGTAACTACAGTGAAACAAATCCTTAACATGATTTACTCAGAAACAACGCAACTCACTGTGGGTCACTAAGTGTGTCAGGTGTTTCTTTTAGAAGATGATCCTGAAGCACCTAGAGAAAAAAAAAAAAAAAAGCCTCTGGATTTTGTCAATGGTGAACAGCATAGTTAAATAAAATTCATTTTTAAGAAACCCCATAGCCAGCTGTGATCCCAACATTTGGGAGACTAAGGCAGGAGGACCGCTACAAGTCTGAGGCTAGCCTGGGCTACAGAGTGAGTTCAAATTTAGCCTGAACTGCATAGTGAGGCATTATCTCAACCAAACAAAATGAGAAAAAGTCACCATAAAACAAATCTTAATAGTAAAATCAAGTAGCAAAACTGAAAGGCCTGAATTTTACCCATTTTTTTTCCATTGGACTATTGCTAGGCTAAGATAGACAAAGATTTTCTTTCCCACATATGCAGGTCCTCTCAAAAGAAAATTTTCACCAAATTTTCGCTAAGTACTTTCAGGCACTGATTTATTTATTTATTTTTTATGTTTTCTTTTTATGTTTACCAAGACAAGGTCTTGGTATATAGTTCAGGCTGGCCTTGAACTCACTATGTTGCCTACGCTGGCCCTGATAGCCATTAATTTCTTTATTCAAATGCAGCCCACAGTGCAGTGAAATACTACAACTTGTAAATCTGACAAAGAAATTAGGTTTGTTTTCCTCTCCTTCTCTCTGTGAGCCTTCCTGACAATATGTGACGCGTTCTGCTCAGAGGAACCTCTAAGGTTTATAAACACTGGAAAGTGCCTGCTTCTACGCAGGACTGCCACAGTGGAATGCGCTGCTCCAGTATCAGCTTTATTCACAACAGCAGTATTTAATATTTACTGAGCTTTTTCCACCTGCCAGTTATTGCTTTTACCACATTTTGTGTATAAACTAAATTAATCCTCATAACCATTCAGTGAAGTATCAAGTTAATTCCTGCTTTCTAGATGAGGAAATGGAAGATGGAAAACTTGCCCAAGGTCACACACCTGAACTGTGGCAAGACCCAGTGGTATAAAAAAGTCAATAGAAGTTTTCAAGACTCAGATGTCAGGTTGGGTCTGAAAAGGCAGTAGCCTCAACCTCAGCCCTCAACCTTTGGCACCTGGTGTGTTTTCCAGGTAGAGACCATAGAAATTAAATTAGAGAACACTCAGAGCCACAGTAGAAGTCTCCACACACTGAGATTATAAAAGTCTGTGCTGACTATGGTGCATGAGTACAGAACAAAACAATTTTCTTTTTTCTCTGCAATACACCTACAGTGATAGGAAAGAACTATCACAGTGGGGCTGGGGAGATAGCTCAGTGACACAAGCACCTGCCTGGCAAGCAAAAGGTCCTGAGTTCGATCCCCAGTAATGAATGCCGTGCCAGCCCCAAAACCAGACATGGTGGAACATGCCTGTAATCCCAGAGCTAGAGAGGCTAAGATAGCAGGATCACTATGAATCTGAACTGCATAGCAAGACTCTGTATCAACAAAAACAAAAAAAAACTACCATTGAAATGTGGAAAGAAAAAAAAATGGATTCAAGCACTTACGCTTGTAATTTCATCCTTACAAAATGCTATGGCTTCAGGTTGCTTGCTTGGAGGGAAGGCTGCTTCAAAAGCATCTTTTGCAGCGCATGCAGCTGGGGTGTACGTATCACACTGCGCCATGAGCCAATATCCCATTAAACTCTTTAAATACGGAGCCAAGTGTTTCTTTACTTTAAGGATAAGTTTTTCAAAAGCTTGCTGAGTGGCTTCTCGAACCCGGCGATCATGATCCTATCAAAAATATAAATAAAATTATACAAATAAAGATGTTTTTAGATGTACAACAAAGATCTATAATTAAGAGTTCACCTAGGGCCGGCCTGGCCTGATAGCTCAGAGGATTAAAGTGCCTGCTTAGACAGATGCAGGGATCAGGTGTTCAATCCCTGGCCTGCCATGCCGGCCCTGCCCACTGGTCTGACTGAGTCAGTGACAAAGACTGGGCATGATGGCGCGCACCTGTAATCTCAGCGCTTGGGAGGCTGAAAAACAAGAGAATCACTACGAGTCCGATCTATGTAGTGAGACCCTATAGACCCTATACTAGATGCAAAAAAAAAAAAAAGTTCACCCAAGTATGAAGCTAACCTAAACTCAATTTTTTTAATGCAGTTTTTCTTTTTTTTTACATTTATTTAT